CCCCCCCCCCCCCCCCCATGAGCACCCTGTCCAACCCCAGCCTGCTCTCCTCTTCCTTTGCCCTTCAGAGCTATCGGCTGTTTTTCCTTGTGCTCATTGGGGCTTTCATAGGAGCTGAAGTTCCCCATCTCTGGGGGAAGGAAGTTCTGGCAGAAGACTTCAAGCCTTGCAAGGGGAGCCCTGACTTTGGGCTCTTCCAGGACCTGGGACCCTTCACCCTCACGTTTCGGGCAGCTCTGGGAAGCCCCTGATCTCCCCCGCCCCCAACTCCTTGTAAGTTGTGTTCTGCTCAATCTGGTGACCTTCCAGGGCCTCAGGCCTGGCCGGTCGCTCCCTTAGCAGGACAAGTCAGAAAATCATCTTTGGTCACAGGGGATGTCATGAGGACACACCGCAGCCAGAAGTGGACCTGCAATCTCCCCACGCTTAGCTCTGATGTGGGACCCTGGGTTGTAGCCCTGTGGGGGCGAGGCCACACACCCTTCCACTTGCATTTTCTACCCCTCCCATCCATGCCATCTGCAGAAACCACAATGACGCCAAAAGGAGGCCTCCCAAAGACCCCACCCCTCCTTGTGCGCTTGGGTCTTGGCCCTGGCACAAGTACTTAGGTCACGGCATGTGCCATCATGACACATGCTTTGTCATTGCCCATCCTTTGAGGGGCCCAAACACACTCTGCTTCCTCTTCAGACCCAGGAGGGCTTTGCTGCAGTGGGTGCCTCTCCCTCTACTGCTAGGCCAACAGCCTTTGGTCAACAGTGTGGAGTCTTGACAAACCTGTTCGCAATCTTATCTTGGGTGGGGCAGCTGACGCACTGGAGTGCCTGATAGGGCAGGACTCAGTTCCACCATTCCTCCCCCCACCCCATTTCTGGTTTGCTTTTTGCAGACCCGGGGTCAGGCAGCTTTTGAGCTGAAGCTGCTGTTCTTCTTTGGACCAGGAGTGAGTTGGGTTGCTCCCCTCTGCCATCAGTGGCTCCTGGGCACGTGGCCTCAGGCATCTGGCATGGCACAGCTCAGGTCCCTTGCCTGACAGCCAAGGCAGAGCCAGAGCCTTGCCGGGAGCTGGGTCTCACAGAGTAAATGCAAATTCCTTCATCCAAGCTGCCCCAAAAGATCTGCCTCAGTAACTGAATGGGGCAAGTGAGGCTCTGCATTAATACATGCAAAATGGGGGAGGGGTGGTGGGCACACGGAACCCAAGATGGGCAAACATCTCAAGGTTTTGCTGAAGAGTCAGGCGGATGTGGTGTGGCTGGGCTGAACGAGGCTGCAATAAAACTGCCTGGGGAGCAGTCTTGGGGGGTGGGCGCAGCTGCAGTCCAGAGGAAGGCTCAGGAGGGCCACCGCAGGCATCCGGGCGGGAGCCAAACCCCAGAACCCAGTCTTTTAAGGGTGGAGCAGAAGCTGTGTTTCTGTGATGGAATGGAATTATGAAGGCCAGGCTCAGGGAGATAAGCATTTTCTTAGCTCGCCGGAGGAGCGTGGGAGATGCAAGAGGATGAGACTGGCACCTCCCTGCGGAATTCACACTGTTGTGGCTGGCTGACTTGGGAGCTGGGGTTTCAGTCTGGGAAGATTCTTGCTAGAGGTTGTAGCTAGTAAACATAGCTGAACTGAATTGGCATTGTCTCTTGGAGTTCCTTGGCCTAGGCCTGACAGTTTCAGTCCTTCTTGGGTGTGGGAGGCCCTCCAGCTGGGCACCCCCTCTCCTCCCTTTCTCCCCTGGGCAGAACTCCACTGAGGCTCCGAAACAGGCTTTTTCACTCCTCTTTGCCACAAAAGGGTGCAGGGGATCCAGCCGGCGTCCTGCGGTGCCCGGGGCCCTCTCCTGTCCCCACGGGAGCTGGAGGCTGGGGCGGGGGCTCCAAGCTGCCTCTGAGCTGCCCTGGCTTTGCAGCACCCAGGGCCCTGCCCTGGCCAACTGAGCAGTCCCCTGCCCCCTTTCCCTGCAGGCCGGAGCCTCCAGAGGTGGCAGAGCGGCCGAGAGCCACGCAAAGCACTCCGACCGACCGACCAACGGGGAGCTATTTTTAGTGCCGCGGCCGGGCGGCTCCCCTTCGGCAATCAGCACCAGGAGAAGCCCTCCTTACCCCTGCCTCCAGCCTTTCACCCGTAGGAGCGGGCGGGCCTCCAGCAAACGAGACCAGCGTCACGCCAGCCGTATCGGGAGATGACTATCGGAAAGTCGCCAGCCTTGCATGCGCATTTGCGCCCTCCCCCCCAGTCCCATTGGGGGCATCAGGCAGCTCCCCCCGCCTGCCAGGCCCAGCAGCAAAGCCCTCGGCGGGTTTCCCTGCGGAGAAAGGAGGGCAGCGCTAGGGACGAGCCACCTCCGCCCCCGTGGATCCAGAGAGCAGCCCGCTGCCCTTCTTGGAACGGCCGGAGATGAATGGGAGAGCAAGAGGGAGCCCGCGGGGAGGGCCGGGCCCCTGCTCGTTCGGCGTCAACTTTTGCCCCGGGCCCGCGGGGGGGGGTCTGGGACCCCTGCCTCGCCCCTCCCCCCGCCCGCTCCC